TACATCATCCCGCTGCGAGGTGTTCAACCTTCTGCGGTACTTGGGTTTAGGGTTTAGGGTCATTGTTGTTGGTCTTTCTTATTAAGGGTAGCACAGTAGCAGAGGGGGCTGTAAGAGGGCTTTGTAATGGTTTGACACGAGTGTCAACGCGGTACTTGTTGTTGGTCTTTCTTACTAAGGGTAGCACGGTAGCAGAGGGGGCTGTAAGAGGGTTGTGTAATGGCTTGACACGAGTGTCAAAAGGGTCGTGTAGGGTTTTGGAGTGTTTGTATCTGGGATTCATTGAGACTTACAGGGTGTTGGACGGTTTTATTGTCTGTATGGGCTTTATATGGTGTTTCACGGTCCTGTGCTCACGGTTTGGTCGGTATTGGTCGCAAGTGTTCAACATATGCCATATGCTCGGTTCAGGGCTGCTATACATCTCTGTAGGGTTGAAGTTTACATAGGGCTTTGGGGTTTAGTTAAGGGCTTATCTTGGGTTTTAGGCCCCCTCGAGCTCCCGGTCTGTATGCTGACACGTGGTGGCAGGATCAAGACCTGATTCAGACTCAGACCCTGAGCTCCAAAAGCCCTCAACCCTAAATATAACCAGACATCCAAAACCCTAAACCCCCAAACCCTAATCCAAGAAGCCCTAAGCCCTCCTCCAAAGCCCTCAACTCTAAACCACGAAATCCGCAAACAAAAGCCAAACTGCTAGACCCTGAACATGCACCAGCCCTCCGACTCCTCGCCGCAGGGCCGCCGTTGTCCACGAGGCGAACTGTGTCCGAGCGTGCGAGCCTTTGGCTCTGCGGGGTGTCGATGGATAAACGTTCAGGGGCTTTCAGAGGATTTTGTAGTGGTTGTGAAGGCCGAAGCATTCTGCAACAGATACCAAACATGCTAGCATGTGGCCTCGAAACATATGACCGAACAAAGTTCCGTGGGGCTCAGGGAACCCAACCACCCAAAACACTGTCTTGAACCACCAAAACCATTCAAGGCCCCAGCCCGCAAACTTTAACCTAATATAGGGTTTTGGGGACCATTATACAATTATAATAAGGAGCCCACCAAAATTAGTATAGGTAATTATTAAGGCCCCTAGACCCCCGAAACCCCCGAAACCCCCAAACCCTAAACCCAAACCTTGAAGCCTAAAGGCTGCAGGAAGCTCAGCAAATGTCAAACCGAGACGCTCGAAGAGGGGGTGCGTGTGAAGGCGCTCCTCCTGGTAGAGCCTTGCACTATACCCAAAGGCTCCATGTACCTATATACCAAACACTTAGGCCTCAAAGTACCTATATTCTGACCCCTGTAAAGCCTCAGTATATACTATACATGGGCACATGGAGCCTCAGGGATAGCTGGGAGCATAAGATTTAAGCCGAACAGGCAACAAGTCAAGGGAGGTTCTACTTAGTTGCTACTTTAATTGGGTTCTCGAACAACTCAACCGATCTTCCAAGGCGCACGCTTTATGCTGCAACTTGCTAGGCAGTGGACATTCAGCATCTAAAGTGCCCAGACCCCCAAAGGGATCTAAAAAATAGATCCCCTAGTTAGGGACCCTAACGACTAAAGGGTACTTTATAGGAACCCCCTTAGGGGATCTATTTTTTAGATCCTTTTGGGGGTCTGGGCGTGCAAGATAACCTCTGATGTGCTTCAAGAAAACTTGCCTTGACTGCACTGCTATAGTGAAACCCTGACGCCTAAACCCAAACAGCCTCAACAGACAGGGGTGTCGTTACTTCCCCTTCTTGGTCGCCAAAGTGAAAGATGAAGCAAGACAGCAAGGCAAAGAACAAGAACAGCCTGCGACGAACTATAGGTGCGAGTCCCAGGTGCTGGTAGATCTTGTAGGATTCCATGAGGCACATGATGCCCATGTACCTCACGTCGGGGTTCTAGCCCGAAATATCCAACTACAAAGAAACGAACCACCAGCACCTAGTTTCGTGCAGTTTGGGACGACCACTGAGCATAATCTGCACCGGCGCACGCCGTGATGCCCGGTTGAAGGCCCCCTCCATGAGCACCCTTCAACGAGTACCCGATGAAGACAATCTGGCACTTTTGGGGCTTCAGCTCAGAGGGCTGTAATATAGGGGCCTTAACGGTTAGAATAGGGATTTGGGGCCCAGTATACTATAATCTTAATAATGAGCCCACAAAATAGTACAGGTAATTATTTAGGCCCCTATATTATCTTAAGATACCATAATTGCAGGGGTTTTTGGACCCAAAGGTAGACTCAGCATTTCCACTGAACTGGAACATACCCTCGTAGGAGCCCTTTGTACGCATTCTGAGACCCCATACCCATAGGCCCCATAGTAGTTCCTTTTTGGGATTACCTTATAGGATTCTACATATGAACCCGAAAAGGAACTACTATGGGGCCTATGGGTAAAGGAACCCTTCAAGCCGTCGTTTCGGATTTAGGGCGCCCCTCAACTTCTCAATATGGGATGCTATAACCCCTGAGCCCTAAAAACCCGGAACCCAAATCTTAGACCCTAAACTCAAAACCCCGAACCCAAGTAGGTCATCCAAAATACTACTTCATAGTAGGCTCTGGGTAGAGACCTCCTGCTGTGGAGGATCTGCAGCTGGCTGGCTGCTTGGTGAAATATAGGGTTATGGGTTCGCGTGAGGGGATTTTGAAGATGTCTCAGCAATGCTTCGTCTTGAGGTGTTGATCCTTGGGGATTTGCGGTTTGCTGGGCCAAGTTCTTAATCTCGGAGCGGATGAACTGCACTAATTCTGGAAACCCGACACCCGACATGGCCCTGTTTGTTAACGGCAGCAGTCTACCCGCCGCCATTAAACATGCAACTCGAACGCCCTAAGTCCCTTCTCCCTAAACCCACAAAGTCGTACATCCTAGATTGCTTTAGCTGAACAGAGCCACCTTAGGGACCAAATGACCCATAAAAGTAGAGCCCTACGCCCTGATGTCTTATGAACCCCAATATGTACTTGAACCTTGGAACTTTTTAACCAATAAGCTAAACCCTCATTTTAGGGTACATGTCAAGCTTGCGGTAGCAGGCCCAAGCGTGCCGACAGCCACCGCCAGTGGTACGGAAGTTCCGATGAGGACCTGGAATGACTATGGTGCGTTTACATGTATCACTGCTAGACTTATAGATTTGCTTACATGTTCAGTCTATATATGATTAATACTGTTGGACGGTGCTGCAAGGGTTTTAGTGATGTAGGGTTCGGGGTTGAGGGTTCATAGCCTAGGTATAGGAGTTCACGAATCGAATCACACTTGGGCTGTGCAGTAGGCCCCAGTATGAGCACCCGAATCCCTCCGAAGTAGTTTGCGCTACTATCCCCGATGACGAAAGTAACATGGGGATATAGTATAACCCCAACCCATAAAAAGAGACGAAACAGGGGGGATATTAGTACCCAACGATTCAGAGCTCTAAGTTCGTTCTCCCAAACCCTGCAGGGGATGTCCCAGTTCCATTTAAGAGTCTTTACCCACAGGCCCCATAGTAGTTCCTTGTTGGGGCTCATATCGGAAATCCTATTAGGTCATCCCAAAAAGGAACTACTATGGGGCCTTTGGGTAAGTTGTATAGTATCATGACCCAGACAGCCCACTACCCACGGAAAAGGGGATCAACCAAACCCATTCAAAGATCTAGATCCTGATTACTATTCTGGCTTGCAGAAGGCTCTTCAACTAAAGAGCTGCCTATAGTCGTCATTGTAGTTCCTTTTGGGGGTTGACTTATATGTAGGATCCCAAATACATAACTGGTTAAACGATTAAACCCCAAAAAGGTACTACAATGGAGACTATAAGTAGAGCCGACTCCCTGGTTCAAAAACACAAGGCATCAGGACCGCGCCTTGGCGGCGCACTTTGCCGAAGCGCCGCAGAACCTTTCTTAGGGTTGAGGGCTTAGAGTTTAGGGCTGAGGGTTTAGGGTGCAGGGTTTAGGGTTTATAGGGCTTAGGGGACAGACAGCACGGCCGTGCAAGTACAAGCTTTCCGAATAGCATATATGCCAGAAATACCGGAACCTTAGATGACTTGCAAAAACCCTTGCCAAACCAAAAAGCTGGACCTCCAACCCTCAGCTTTTGTATGTCGCGAAAAGCAGCGCAAGGGCCCTGAAGCTCTAGGCCCCAAGCGCTGCAACCAAGAATGAAAGCAAGACACAAGCAGACCTAACCCCTCCAGGTACCTACTATTTAGGGCCTTAGGGACTCTAGTACCCTATATAGTAGGTACCTGGAGGGTTAGGGAGAATGCTTGAATCTGGTCTTCATCACTCAAACCCCCCTAAAAACCACCCGTAGAAGCCTCCACTTCGGGAACCTCGGGGCCGTGTCTTAGAATATACGGAGACTCTACGACAAAGTAGGGTTCTAGATGGTTTGAGCCTCAACCCTCATCATCTAAGGTCGTTCTCCCTGAACCCTACTTACCCTAAGCCCTGGTAAAATAGGGGCCTTAATAATTGGAATAGGGTTTTGGGGCCCATTGTCTCATATCTATATCAAGGAAATCCCCAAATTAATGTTGGTAAGTATTTAGGCACCTACATTATTCTTTAAGGAAGGCATGCGAGGATCTGCTCTAAGGGGATGCTGGGTAAGAGTCATAAGAGTCTACCCGACTTCCAACTCTGCAACCTGCGCGGGTTTAGGGTTTAGGGTTTTGGGCTTTTGGGGTTTGGGGTTTTGGACCTTCTGCCGGACCCTTTGGGCTTTGGGGGCCGTGGAACCCGCCTCTTTTTTTCCAGGGTCTTTCTGCTGGCCAGGTGCCGGCAGGAGAGTCAATCTATGAGCACAATCGACGAAACGGTTTGGGACTTCCGCACCCCCCGGTATACTTGAATAAAGCCTGTATGGCCGTGGGCATCTGACTAAGGCCTTCAGGGGCATGCTAGAGGGTGTTTGGGGATTTTGGGACAGTAGGTGTGAGATTTAAACTCTCAACCGACTAAGGTGGGCTTACATGATACTGCATAGCCCCAAAGCATCACACTATCATGAGCACTTTTGGCCCTGGGGTCGTCGTCACTTGTTGCTGCTGCATCAGGTAGTAGCAAAAGCCAGCAGCCACTATTAGCACCTAGGCCAGGCATGCGCTTAGGGTGCTGCGGTTTTGGGGTTTAGGGTTTAGGGTTTAGCGTTTAGGGTGCTACGGTTTTGGGGTTTGAGATTAGAGCCAGAATGCACTGGCTTCAGTTTTTGAATCTTACCCATAGGCCCCCTCGTAGTTCCTTTTTGGGGTTCCTATTTAGAATCCTACAAGGTAATCCCCAGAAAGAACTACTATGGGGCCTATGGGTAATGCAAACCTTGATGACGAAAGACCCTAAACCCTAAACCTACCTTTTTAGGGTTCCTTACTATGATTTCTTCATATAAGTCCTTAAAAGGTAGGTTCTTTGGGGTTAAGGTAGGCTTCCCAGAGACTCCAAAACCCCTTAGTTGAGGAATAGACCTTAAACTATAAGAGAAATCCGAATATGATTTAAGGTCTATTCCTTAGCTAAGGGGTTTTGGAGTCTCTGGGTTATCATGACATAGCTTTTTCAGGGGAAGTACCCCGCAAAGATAGCTGGGCTTCAGGAAATTCATGGACGAGAACTCAGCTCGGAAAGTTGTCGGGTGAATTAGCGTTTAGGGTCCAGGGGTTAGGGTTTAGGAGAAGTGGCCGACATTAAGGAAAACCAGATGCGAACTCACTCGATTCCACCGGTCCTTCCTACCGTTGAGAGCTTCGGGTTCAGCGGTTTGGGGTTTAGGATAGGGGCTTTGGCTTTAGAGGTTTAGGATTTAGGGCACTTTCAGGACTTGGAGCCTTGCTTGATCAGCAGGAGTATATGCAAGAGTTGCTTACAGCTACCTCTGTCCCAAGGTCCTCCAAGTGCCCCTTCAGACCAACACCAGCAAGGCAGGCTTGAACATCGGCTCCATCCGAAGTCTTCCGCACGAACTTGCTTGTAGTTTTAGGCTGGAGGGTTTGGGGTTAAAGGTTCAGGATTGCGGGCTTAAGACTTAGGGTCCAAGTAAATCCTGAACCGCGAAAACCCGAAACACCAAAACCCTAAACCCCTAAATCCGAGTGGATAAGAATATGCACTGTAGTCCATGATATACCCCGAACCCTGTTCCAAATATTCAAACCCTAAACCCTATAGGGCAGGAAAAAACACTCCACCCTACCTAAACCCTAAACCCTAAACCCTAAACCCTAAACCCTAAACCCGAAACCCGAAACCCTAAACCCTAAACCCTAAACCCTAACCCGGGGAGCCGGCTATGAGAAGGATGGCAAGCACCGCCGCAGAACACTTCCAGCTCCTGGGGGCAGGCCAGGGCGTGAGGTTATAGTGTTTAAGGGTTCAGGGGCTTAGGGTTTAGGGTTTAGAAAGTTTTAGGTTTTTTTTCAGAGTTTTAGGGTTTTGGGGGTTTGGGGTTTAGGTCTTATGCGTGGGCTCAGGATTCACAAGGGTTTAGTGCTTATTAGTGGTGTTTTTTTTATCGGCCGAAGGTCTCTAGGATTTCGTACTTGTTCCATTCGGGCTTTGGGCTTTGGGCCGGGAGGCTATCTCCGATATCTTTGGGACGCTTCCGTGAGGATTCACTAAGATAGAGGGGCCGCAATAAGTAGGAATGGGGTCTCGTGGTATAGTATACCTTACCCTAAGGGTCCAAAGGACCCAATAATACGGTACTTTGGTTGCGGGCAGTAGTTGTCTAGGTTAATATTTGGGAGAGTATATGATTATTGGGTACGTGGACCCTTAGGGTTAGGGTTCTAGGATGTTCTAGGGTAAGCAGGGCAAGCACCAGGAATCAGGGTTTAGGGCGAAGGTTAGGGCCTAGGGCCTAGGTTTAAGAGGGTACTGATCAGTGTTTTACATCGCCGGAAAAACTGGCGAACAACGAGCGCATCGAGAAACACAGGCCACAACCAAAAGAGTCGCTTGCCAAGGTCATAAGCAACAGCCATGTGGCACCCAAAACTTCTCAAGCTCAAAGACTTCGATTCTCGAATCAAGCAGGGGTGTTTGGGTGTGTGCATATGCGTGTATATATATATATATATATAGGCACATGAACACACATGCACAGATGCTTTTCTTCAGAAAACAATCGGTACCGAACACAGCTCCTACCCCTCGTCGAGGCAAAGGAAGCCGAGTCAGCCCAGCTAATAAGGTCGCTGGCCTCTGCTGGAACATTCGGATTCTTTGCGGAGGTTTCCTTGCCTTCGGGTTAAGGCAGAGGGAGGGGAATGCGACAGACCGCGTTAGGTTTCGGGTTTTGGGTTTGGGCGTTTAGGGTTGAGGGCTCGGGGCTCTTGGAGTCTTTGCCGAAGACTCGGGCTTAGAAACAGGGTTTATCAGCATAGGCAGGCGTAAACCTTTAGGGCTGAGTCTGAGTGTAGTCAGATGTTGGTTTGAAGGTTTGGGGATTAGGATTCGCTTTGTTGTGGGTTCGGGAATAAAGCTTCAGGGCTTCGTGCTTCGGAGCTCGGGTCTTCCAGCTCTCATCCTCAGAAATCTGAAGCACAACAAACCCAAACCCAAAAGGCTCTGATCAGCCTGACCGATGACTTCACCGACTTCAGCTCCATGAGAATCGTTTAGGGCTCCTTATGATTATGCTTACAAGTTATAAGTCCGGAAAAAGGTAGGTTGTATAGGGCCCAGGTAAACCCAAACCACCGACAGGCCCCAGTGCAGTTGACCTTTTTGTTGCTCACTCCTCACGCCTCTTGGCTAAGGTTCGCATCCCTGGGCCAAACGCCCGAAGCGATCGCTCCCAAGCACGACGGTTCGGGCCTTGTGGATGTTTTAGGGTCCAGTTTTTGAGGTTTAGGGTCTTCGGATTTAAGGGTCTGTGGCTTAATGGTCTGGGGTTGGGGCCTCAGGGAGCTCCCATTGGGTTTACGGGGCCTCAGGTTTGTGGCTAAGTAGTGAGTGCTTGGTTTAGGGTTTAGGG